TGGAAAAGCTTGTTGCTTCTATTTCAATAGCACTAGGGGGTTTGACTTCTGTCTTAGCTCAAACTCCTATTTAGTCTCCCTGGACTCCCTTGCCTCCCAAGCTCTACCCACTGCTCTTATGAAGCAAAGAACGGGATGGCTTTTGGAGGGTAATACTCTCTAGTGGACGCAACTTTTGTCTTTACTGCCTTTTAAGTAGGAGGCTAATAAGAACAGTCTGAAAATTGCTGGGTCAAAGGCTTTCTGAAAACTTTTGCCTTGTTTCTCTTAGGCTGGTAGGCTAGAATCTTTTACAATATAGGACCTCATAGGCCATCAGAATCAATGATTTGAGCTTTGTTATTCCAAAGAGGTGGTGTTGGGCCAATGAGAGAATGGCATACAGACTCCTCCCCTGTGTGAGAGACAGAGGGAGAGCCAAGTGCGCTCTCTGGAGGCCTTAGCTACAGGCACATGGGCAAAACAGTCTTCTATGTATTCATCTTTCATTCCTTCAACAAGTGTTTATTGAATACCATGCTGGTTAGTTTTTGTCAACTTGACACAAACTAGATATACCTAGGAAGTGGGAATCTCAACTAAGGAATTTCCTCCATCATATTGGCTCATGAGCTTGTCTGTGGAGCATTTTCTTGATTGCTGATTGATGTACGAGAGTGTGGTCCACTGTGGGTGGTGCCACCCCCAGGCAGGTGGGCCTAGGTGGTATTAGAAAGGTAGCTGAGCAAGCCAGGGGAAGTGAGCCAGGAAGCAGCATTCCTCTGTTGGTCTGTGGTGTTTGTTTCTGTTCCCACAAGTTTCCATCCAGGTTCCTACCTGAGTTCCTGCCTTAGCTTCCCTCAATGATGGACTGTAACTTTTAAGATGAAATAAACCTTTTGCTCCCAAGTGGATTTTGGTCTATATTTTATTACAGCAACAGAGAGCAAAGCAGGACAGATACCTACTGTATGCCGGCAGTATTTCTTTCTTTCTTTTTAAAAAAATTTATTTTATTATTTATTTATTTATTTATTTAATATGTATGAATATTTTGCCTGCATGTATGTAAGTGCACCGCGCTGTGCAATGCCCATGGAGGCTAGAAGAGGGTGTCAGATGCCCTGATATTGGAATTATGGACTACTGTTAGCTGCCATGTGGATGCTGGGAATCAAACTTGGGTCCTCTGAAAGAGCAGCCAGTGCTCTGAACCACCAAGCCATCTCTCCAGTCCCCAGGCACTATTTCTTACTGCCAAAGAGCAGCTTCAATGCAATAAACCAACAAAACCCCTATGCCATGGAGCTTGCCTTCCAGTAGTGGAAATAAACAGGAAATGTGATAAATAAATAAATTCTACAGCTTTGAATACAGTGGTGGATGCTAAAGAGTAACCAGAGGAAAGGGAGCTAGGGTTAGCTGTGTATTCATGTGTGTGTGTGTGTGTGTGTGTGTGTGTGTGCGCACGCGTGTATGTGTGTGTAGACTACAGAAAATTTAGATTAGGCTGCCCAGGGAAAGTCTTACTGAGCTGGTGGTTCTTTTGAGCTAGGTCCCAAAGAAAGTGATAAGAGGAGGCAGAGTTTCATGGGCTGGACGAGTCTAGTTTCATGGGCTGGAGGAGTCTAAGTAGTGAAAGTAGCAACTGCAAAGGCCTGGAGGGAGACTGTGCCTGACACTCTTAGGAGTAGAGAGGAGATCAGTGTGTCTAGAAGACAGAACACCGAGAAGTAAGAGGTGAAGTTGGAAGGTATGCAAGAGAGGTGAGGTCATTCAGGGCCTTTGGTGTACACACACACACACACACACACACACACACACATGCACACGCAGAGATGGCAGCCTTTGAAATGTTTTGAATGGGGTCATGGCTTCATTTCATATCTTTTAAAAAATATTTTATTTACATGGGCAGAGTGGTCATACATCTTAGAGAAAATCCCCAAACTCTCACATTGCTAGACTAATGTGATTTCTTACTATGTGCAAAACATGTATCCTTCCTTATATTTACAAATATCCCAGTTACCACTCATCAAAGAAGCTCATTTTGCACCAGTCAGAGACAGTTACTAAATACCACAACTGGTCACACATGGACTTTGTCTATGAATTGCCCAGGCCTAAGTGACATATCTGCAATGCAACCTCCACACCTAAGGCTCATGGAACATGGAACAGAGGTAAAGAAGAGGGAACTAATGGATCTCTCAGTCTCATTAATGAAGCTCCCTCATGTAGCGGAGGGCCAGGAACACAAAAGATCACAAATGGCCAAAGCATAGAGATCAAGAGTCTGCTGAATGCTGGTCCTTGGACAGGTCTCCTTTATTAAACTTCACCTACCCAAGGATCAGGGATCATCTCAGAACAGGGGGCAGAAATATTTTAACAGCCAGGGAGGAGGTGCATGTCCATATGGAAACAGACTTTCTACAAGCTCCTGGGAACCTGCTCATATGATTCTATGGCAATGGTGTCAGCATACACAAATCCCATGCAAACTCAGGCAGACAAAAACCCAGCATAGAACTGGAAAAATGAACAGCAGACCCCAATCTTATCTGAAGAAATATTGGCAACTGATTGCTGCTAGGTGAAGAAGAGCTGATCTTCCTAAAACAAGGGACTCTAGAAAAGCTGACTAGACTCCAGTGGATGGACTTGCACTGGGGACATTGACGCCACAGTGGGCCTTAACAGGGACGACAGAGTATATGAGCTTCAATGGGGGGATGATGGGAGGGTGCCAGGGGACAGGGGTGTAACAATGATCAAGATGGTTTGAGATGTTCTGTATGAAATGCACAAAAATTCAATAAAAACAAATTTATAGAAAAAGTCAAAAAAGCCTTTTAGATACTGAATTGGATCCTGGAATGGAATAGGGACATAATGAAAACCTGATGAAATGTAACAGTGAGTGTGATTATCCCAACGCTAATCATTTAGTTTGCTAATCTACCAGTCAATGTGGCAAACACTGAATGTCATCAGTAAAAACAGCTGGTTAGAGGGTAGATTGAACTTTCTAAACTACCACTGCAATGTTTCTATAAGTTTAGAATTACTCTAAAACAAAAAACAATAAAAAATAGCCATCTCCCGAACCCAGGCATGGTGATGCATACTGTTATTCCAGTACTCTGGAGGAGGTTGGAGGATCATGAGTTTCAGACCAACCTAAGCTACATACATGAGATTCTGTCTTAAAGAAAACTAAAACAAACCAAACCACCAAAACTAACAAACAATGCCCCCCCAAAAGGAAAAGAAGTCATACAAGTATGAAACTTTTGGAAGATTTCAGAGATTACATTGGCTACAGATACATTCTGTACACTTTTTTTTTTCCTTTTTGGAAATCATTTCACTTAGATTAAGCTGAATTTTAAATCCTTCGCTCCCAATTTAAACCCATGTGTACTGCACATGTCTCAGGGATCTACTCTGCCTACAGAGCAGGTTCTGTTCAAATTAGACAGGAACTAAAATTTATGCTTCTTCCTAAGGCAGAAAGAGGATTGGTAGGATTTGAACCTGACATTGGATCACACAGAGGACTGTGAGGTCCTCACATGTCATTTCTTAGTATTTGACAGGACATTTAAATCATCATAGAAAGTAGGCCAACAATAAAGCAAACACTTCAGGAAAGAATTCTCTACCTATTGGGTAACAATATGTCTTTCAAAATGTTAGGCTAAGAACATTTTTCCTAGTGTTCAAATGTCCTTGACTCTAAATGAAACCCATGATGGTTAGCTAAAATTAATACAAGCAGACTAATAATATTATAGTGAGATTTGATGAAATGTTTGAGACAAGGAATGAAGCCAAATCAACTGACGATGCTAGAGCAACAAGCACTTACAAGGCCACCAGAAGATGGAGGGCTGTGGTGTCCTAGTGGTCTTGACCCTCTCCTTCCTGCCTGGGGTGTGCCAAAACCAGAAGGGCACAGTGTCTTCTTGGATACTCTCAGCATAAACAGCCAAATACCTATAATTTGCTAAGGAAACTGGGACATGTCTCCTAAGAATGATGGCACAGCACCGTGGCCTTCTCCTAAGGCCCAGAGCTGTATGGCCACAGACACTAACGAGGCAATGGCATTTTTTTAGGTTCAATCCAAAACCAAGGCAGTCAGACTTAGATAGTAGAAGGTTGAAGAACTGGGATGGTGTGAGCACACAGCCCAGCCTGCATTTCCCCTGATAGCCTCTTCTTATAATTAGGATAAATTGACCTCAGTGGATTTGGTCTTTGCTTTAGCACAATCCTTTCTATAGGGAAAAGCTACAGTACGTGTTTAATGAACAGAACGGTACAGTTGTTAGTCCTTGTTATGCCTACAGATGGATCCTTTAAATTTGGATTTTGGGGCTATCCAGGTATTTCCATTTGAGATCATGAAGCAAAATCAAGTCCAAGTGCTGAAAAGTGGAAAGGTTAGTGCTCATTTAAGGAACTGATGTGGCTCCCATAGCCTTGCAGTTCTGTATGTTATGGAAATGCATTTCTTCAGGGTGGTGCAAGGTACATCTTGGTTAGGAAATTAGCCAAGTTCCTCCACAGCCTTGTGCCTGCCTGCATGTATAAACAAGCAGTAAGGTTGTGCAGAGAGGGCAACTGAGGGGCATTATCACATCTGATTACAAATTTTATAGTATCTGTTACCTGATCAGTTTTACTTACATGATGTTAGTTTTCATTCTTCATAAGCTCTGTGGCAAGTCTACCAACCTCAAATTAAAATACTTTTGAGGCACATTAAAACAAAATCCCTTTGAGGCAACGACAGTGGTTAATGATTTTTGAGCTGGGATATCAGCATCATGAAGTAAATCCTTATTTCTAGCAGTTTGTAAAAGGAAGTTGAACATGCACGAGTCTGGGATGATTTAAATTAACCTTGCTGGATGGTAGGAGAAAAAGACAGAAGGTTTGGCAGCCCCTCCCACCTTTGAAGTTATGACTAATGGACCAGCTTTCACAAGTAGGGTGGGTCTCCTCACCTCCCCCCAGGCTGCGGGTGGGGGCTCCACTGGAGGGTAGTACTTGGGCACGTCCCAGGCCACCGCAGCCATGAACCATTTGAAGTCTTTGCATTTGAGCTGCTTGCGTAACTCTTTCTGGGCAGAGATGTCCCCGGTGGAGAGGTGTCTGTACTCTGGCCGCCGCTGGTAAATGTACTCGGCAAATTCATCCATCCAGGTCTCAGCCACACGCTTGAGGTTCTGTACAGAAGAAAAAAAACCAAGTTTTTTAATTGACTTCTACGCTCAAAGGATAGTTTTACTTGCCTTAGAAACTGAAAAGAGAAAAGTAAAAACAACTCAGGTGACCGCAGGCAACACTAGCTGGTGAGAGCTTTCATAACCTCAAGGAGCTGGGTGTGATTAGCCTGTGGCTTAGGGCACATTCTTCTGGCTTGAGGTTCAGCTGACAATTTGGTAATTAATTATCAGAGCCAGTAAAGACTCTGCTCACAATTATGCCAAGTTCTGTTTCCCCTTATTCAATGACTTTGTGTGTGTGTGTGTGTGTGTGTGTGTGTGTATTATTTTTCACGTAGAACCAAGAGTTGATACTGGAGGGAATGAAGCTTCTCTTAGACATCTAATTGCTTAAAGCATTTCAAGATACAGGCATCTTGGAAAGAATAAGGCTAAACAAGCTGTTATTTTTTTTTTTTATCCCAACTGTAGAGAGAGATTAAAAAAAAAAAAAACCCATGTGTTCAGATTCTGTGATATGGATTCCAATTTATATCTCACTGCACGATGAAGTATAAGACTATCAGAGTCAGGCTTTTCTACAAGTGCTTCCCGGGGTGAAAGAGGTGAGAAGTTGAGGGTAGAAAAATAAACATGTTCCTTAGAATTAGAAGAGAATGTGTGTTCAGAGTAGGAAGCTCAGTCTTACTGTAGGTTTTGGGATTGAGTGTGTGGTTTACATACTCTGTGCCTCAGATTCTAAATCTGAATGGAAACAGTCTGTAGCTATACCATGGGGTGGTTGTACGATTAAGTGAAGCAGCATTTGTTGGCTGTTTTGAGTGGGTATTATGAAAACCAAGCTATTATTATGAATTTAGAAAGAGTTCAAGATCAGAAATTGAAGAGTCTGGGTATTGGGCTCAGCCACCCATTACTCAGTAGTTCCGGTGGCCTTTGAGAAGGGAGAGGAGATGAGATGCTGTCTGACACCCCTTCAAGTTCTATAGATTAAGTGGTAGACAGAACAGCAGCACTTGTCTGGAAGATGCCTCCAACTTGTCTAGCTGATGTCTCCAGCTCAAGGAACGTTTTCATAGGCTGGTGTTCTATGGGCTGCCGTTCTTGTTCTTCCCAGTTCAAGGTTCTTATTTTAAGGTAGCTGGTGTGAACATTGAGCAGATTCACTTTCTCATTTGCACTTAGAAGACTGAATGATCACAATGACTGGGAACTTCAATGAGATCTTGACATAAATGATTAGAAAACTAGACACATTTAGAATAACGTTATTATAAAATTTCTAAGAAGCCTCAATTCAGACATGAATCCAGAGACCTTCTGGGTTTAGAACCACAGACATCAGTATCTTATTGCTAGTGGGATTGTGTGCTTCACTCCAGTGTCTCTGGATAGAACTCCTGTCTGCCTTCATCCTTCTCCATAGCCTTCATTGACTTCTTGGCTATATTTTCTGGGCAGCAAGCACAAGGTAGGGCTTAGTTAATGCAGCAAGATGCAGAAAAGCAAAAGAGCCACAGGGACTACTATGATTTCTTGGTTGCCTCTGTTCCTTGCCTTCTAAGATGTCTGCTGCATAGTCAGAAGGATGGTGAAATGACACTGAGATTGTAAGAATTATTCTTATTTCCTTTATTTGTTCTCTAATATCCCATCAGGACTGTCTCGCCCACTCGACTCCCTGTTCCTCTCACTCTACTTTGTTTTGACAGGTGATAGTCAATTTTGTTTTGTGCTGTTTTACCCCTTGCTACCGATTGTGAGCTGCCCAACTTATTTGGGGACAGGAAAAGAAACAGATGATGTCTTAAGGCTCTTGCTCTGTGATGGAACCATGTACTTAATGCATACATGAACACTAAGGGAGGGGGGCATCAGCATCATCTTGCTATTTACATTCATTTTGAGAAACATTCTATAAAAATGAATTCTGTTTTAACATGACTTCAGACAACTTTATCAGAGATTAGCACAGAGATTAAGAAAATATAATATGCAATGTCAATAACATCAAAACTTTATAATCCAATTTGATTTTAGACAGTAGTTTGGTTTTTCCCTGAATTTGTAGTAAATAAATCATAAGTATTTAATATTTACCTGCTTTATGTCTCTCTAATAAATGAAAATAGCTAAAAATAGCAAAAAGCAAATATTAAGAGGCAAAGAGGTGAATTATAAAGGAATAATAGGAAGATGACTTTACTAAGAAGATCTATAGCTTACAAATTTTGAGTTTTCAGAAAGATTTGTCATGAAAAACTCTTTTTTGATTTGAATGAAAAAGCACTTACTTTTTTTTTTTTTTGTAAAACATTCCAAGACTTTGTTGTATTGTGGGACAGGAGGTAAGGATGGGTGGAAAGGCATAGATCTAGTGGGAAACCATTGTCTTGGATAGCATCGTGTGCCTATCCTGATGACACTGACAAAAAGGTAATGCCACGCTGCACTATGCTGTACTCAATGCTGTCCATCAGTTCTTGAGCCCACATTCTTATCATGAGACTGGAAAAGATGCTGAAGAGTGTCCTGGTCTCCACGCCGATGGTATTAGTTGTCACAACGCTCACTTGCATAAGGTCAAAACAGTGTGGCTTGAACTGTCCACGAGGCCCTCTGGTCACTAGTGTCTTGCTGGTTGCCTCACCTGCTCAAGTCTCCAGATTAATTTTTTTCACTAACTACCTGCGATCTTGCATGGCTCCAAGCACATGTGTGTGTTCATTGGATATGCTAATTGTTTAATTAAGAAGAACTCACATTGAAAAATGAATGTGAGCAAATTCATAGCATATACAGGTATCTATTGGTCACTGAAATAAGAGCAATTAAAGATAATGCCATTCATATAGGGCAAATTCTTATTTCTTTGAATTTTTGAAACAGAATTGGGAATGTTTAAGAAAAGCTCAAGGGAACTGATTGATCCAGATGTAAGCAGTTGGAAATGACTCAAAGAGTTATAATAAATGTAGTCAGAATAAGCAGTATTAATAGGCAAAGGGGCAGGTGATAGAAAGTTGGCAGATTGTCACTTTAGGAGAACTGTGGTGTGGCTCACAGGTGGAGTGGCCCCTGCCTTTCTGTTATCATGTCATTTCCAACTGAAAGTTGAGGTTAAGCAAATCATACCCAAGTTGTAGGTTATATTTGCTGATTTCTCAAAACCGCCAAAGAAAGGAACAGGATCATGGATGTGTTCCTGGGATAATGCTAAACCGTTCATTGCTTTTCTGTTGTTTTCCAGAAGACAGTGTAAAATAACCACAAAGATTGTGATAGCTGGCTTTCCTTTAGTTAGGACAGTTTTACCAAGCATTTAAACATAAATAAAATATCCTGACCATTTTCTAATATCCTCAACGATGCACTAAACATTTTGAATTTTAGGGGCTCTGTTTTTTGAATAGAATTTTCTATTAGGAGGAAACTTTCTAAAGTATTGTAATGGGGAGAAAGAGGGTCCCCAAGAGGGTTCTTAGTCTCATTCATAAAAGAATTTAAGAATGTACCCAAATGGAAGCTTTTACAATTTTACTAGACTCTTAAAGAAAAATCCTCAGGGCAGGTGAGCTGGTAATCTTGGCAGCTGCCTTGAAGAGTTGAATGGTGGGAAGAAGGAAAGAAAGCCATGAAGCCATGGAGGTTTAAGCTTGTGTGGGAGGTCAGACATGTGGCTGATTTGCAGCCCAAAGCTTTAAAGAAGGCATGTTTAGTAAGACAGCTATGAAGAAGAAAAGGAGAAATTATGCTCTCCTGAATTCTTCAGAGGTCTTTTCTTACAGAGACCTACACGACTGTGGCTCGTCCAGAAGTTCTGTGGAGGTCTGCGCTAGTATCAGGCAGGAAAAATTCGCTACCTCATTAATGTACCAGGTATTCTGCCTATGTATTTAGCGTGACTTAAGGTGGACTTGCCTTCCTAGGGGTGGTTCTATCACCAGGTGATTGACCAGTGACACTTGAAAGGTGGGTCTTCCAACAAATAGACTAGGGATTTTATGGGGCTTTTTGCTACTCTAACAGTATCAATTATAATGGTCAAAGAATAGCCATCACTCCCTAGCCATCCAGGTGACTGACCAAATAAAATCATTTCAAGGTCATTATCCTGGAAATAACAGTATATTGTTAATTTGTGCTGTAATCATGAATAGGTACTTAGCTTTTGGATGAACATTGGAACTGCAGCTGAAAAATATCACAAGCAGTTGCAAGAAGAGTTTCCATAGTCTTTTATAGATTATAGAATAAGTTCCTCCACTTCAGGAAGTACTTATAACCACATGCATTTGAGTGTATTGGCATGTTTATATAGGAACTCAGATATACACATTCAAATATGCGACAGTAATGGGGAAGGTGCAAAGGCAGATTTCTCACTTAGGCATTCATAGCTATGTAAATGTGCAAAATCATGAAAATGAGACATCTCAATAATGTCTCTTGCCAGAAAAGTTCTTGCCAGAGCTTTCCCATCTGTCTCTGAGATAGAATGAATGTTGGTAATGGTGCTTATGTATCCAAAGCATAGTTGTCAAGAGGAAAGGAAGAACAAAGCATGGAGACGAGAAGACCTGGACACGCAATGAGTTTACTCCTCAACTGTTAGAACTACATTTGTAGAGATTGTCTTATATACACGAAGCCAGGTATTATATGGATTTCTTTTTTTTTCAACATTTTAAATAAAAGTGCTTTACCCTCGATTTACATGTTTTTGCCTGCTTCAAAATTTCTGTGGATTCCCAGGGTATGTACTCACACATAAAACCTTCAGTGTCTTATTTGGGGATCTTTTTCCTTCTGTTGATAGCTTGTCCTTAGCTTGCTCACTACCTTTTGAATACTTGAGTGGCGTGCACAGGTAATTTATCTCTCAAACATCTCTTCAGTAGGTCACCTAAGTGCAGACTCTTACGAATATTTTCAGGCACCATCAGGGGTATAGATGACAAAACCAGATAAATTAGGACATAAAACAAAGTACTTGAGCC